TTTTTTTTTTCTTCATTAAACAGCACTAAAACCAATAAAAATAGAACAACCAAAAAAAACTGTGAGATGTTACAAAAAAAGTTCTAAACAGAAAAAAGTTTTAGGCTTTATTTTAATTTATTGTTTTTAATTAGCTTAATTTTTTATTTGTTTTGTTTTAACATTTCGTATCGGTGGTCTTCTGATCCTATGTTCTGTGCTCCTGTTTCGCTTTATCTTCTTTTTTCTTCTTCATTCGACGATTTTGAAACCAAATTTTGATTTGGCGTTCAGAAAGACCGAGACTTCGGTTTAGCTCAATGCGACGTCTTCGAGTCAGATATTTGTTATAGTGAAACTCCTTCTCCAATTCGAGAGTCTGATGACGACTGTATGTTTGCCTTCCTCTCTTCCTTGAACCATCTGAAAAACTACCCCAAATTGTAGAGAAAAACAGAAAAAAAATTGTTGTTTTTTCTCTTTTTTTTCTTTTGTCTTTCCTTTTTTTTCAGAAAAAATTCACAACTTTTTTTCTTTGATTTTGCTTTCGAATTTTCTACACTTAGACAAGCTGTATGGACGAGATGGATAAGAAGGCGGAGAAGGAAGAGGAGCACAGAACAACAACCTTTTGGTTGATGATGGTCGATCGCTGTCCACTACAGAAGCCATTATCTACACCATCTACACCCCCACCATCAGCAACAACAACAATAACAACTTCCTTATCACCATCATCAACATCATCATCATCATCGTTCCATCATCATCACCGCCACCATCGCCATCATCACTATCGTCAATAACAGCAATAACATTTGGTGGTAGTAATGGTGGTGGAATTACCGGTAAAATAAATTAGAAGTGCTGGGAAAATGGCGATGGACCGCGGAACCCAACCAACCAAATTTTTAACTGGGAAAAAACGAACTCTATACTGAGCTTTTATTACACAAAAATTGAAACGAAACAAGAAACTGAAAAATTAAAATTATAAAAAACAAACAATTATAAGTGCAAACTCAACCAAAAAATAACCAAAAATTTAAAATGATTTTAGCCGAACAGGAGCAAAAAGGAGAAAAATGAGAATGACAAAAAAAAAAAAAA